TGTTCATGTTGAAGCACTGAAGAATCTAGCTCCTCTTTTCTTACATATGTTAGTGGATATTCTATTTCCTCATGTTTAAACAGTGTAGGTTCTGGTTCCTCCTCTTCTTTTTTAATCCATTTTGTTCCTGGTTCCATCTGTTCCTCTTCAGTCCACTGATGTTCTGCTTCTTTCTGGACCTGATTGGACCTACTTGCCAGGCTCCAGACTTGTTGGGTGGCAGAAGCTTCTTCCTCATTGGAAACACTTGGCTGTTGGAGGTCTGTGGGAACGAAGAACAACATCATTAATATAATTTAATTGATGACCATCTCATGGATCAATCTGGTTTTCCTTGAGATTCTGGACAATGGACCTTACCAAGCTCCACCCAGAAATGCCCCCAAAAATCCCACATGGCTGCATGCCTCACAAACAAAGCCTCGCGGAGCTTAGTTTCGATGTGTAAACATGGCATCTTTCACTTCGACTGACTCTCTGCAGCGTATTTCTGACTCGATTAGTGTAGCATTTCTGCCGGATTTTCACAAAATATCAGCCACGACAATGGCCAGGGGAACCAACAAGTTCATGTCATCTTTTATGGACAAAATCAAGGTGTTTAAGCCACGCGATGCCTCCAACATTGTGCGCGTCACAGCTAAAAGCTACCGACAGATGAGGAAAACAGCACATCCTCACACCCTCAGCATAAATATAGCTGTGGACAAGATCACTGATGCCTACTGTTGTTGCAAGGTTGGGTAAGTCAGGCATTCATGGTTTTGAGGGTTACTTTTGAAATCAGTGATTTCTGTTGTTGGCAAACAACAACAGAACAGGATGAGTGTGCCTAGGCCTGACACACTGTACTCGGTGCTAGCGTGGCTAACATGATTACAATTTAGTAAAAAGCCTTTTCAGGTAAAATAAAATTTTAATGTGTGTCAGATTCGGGACACATTGCATATTGATCTGTTCAGCTAACGTAAGACTGTAACAGACAGGCTTCAAGGTGTAGAAGTTGTATCGGTACTGCCATTATGCTGTACTTAGCTAAAAGGTTTTCATAATGGATGTGTTAATTATTGACTTTCTTTTTTTCATTCACTAAACACAAAGAAAGCAAAGCAATAATACTTACACCAGCACACACTCCTTTGTTCTTATTGATCCTACGACGGTTGAGCTGCAAATGCGGTCGTGCACAAGCTTTGATCCAAGCAAGGCATTCCGTTTCAGATTTTGGAAATCTGTGCATTTTAGTTCCACAAATACGATCAGGATGCCTGACATCGCCTGAGCAGATACCCCACTGACGGTGGAGAACCATTCTTTTTCGAGTCCTGACGCAAAAACTTTAGCATGTTTTTACTACTGTAGCTTGTGTTTGTGAGATGGTCACGCACGTGGTAGCTGCGCTGTGACGTGAAATGGGCATTAGCCAATGAAACGCGGCCCCTGTGGTAAGGTCCATAGGCA